TGCTTCCGTGCCATGTTCATTTGTTTTTACAAAAGTTGCATGTTACGACTTTTTTCGCTTTATAAAGCGCAGGCTGTCTGCGAATTGAGACGCAGTTTGCGTTAGAACAGTTGACGTTACTGCCTTTTGAAAACAGCCCTTGCTCACTTGCGGCGCTGGCTCGCTCTGCCGTATTTTTTTTTTTTCTTCCCACTTTTCAATCAAGTGGCAGTGATGACGACGGCGGCGGATGACGCATTAATCGCGCGACACAACTAATCGATGATGAAATTTCGTCGCCAACGCTTTTAAAAGTCGATTTTTATCGATTCGTTGTTGCAGCCCTAATTTAATTATTTATTTTTATTTATTTTTTTGGTCTCTGCTTTATTAAGTAGATACTTCAATAACTAAAGACACTTGTTATAGTTACACTTAACTGTCGCACGTTCTCTCTTGGTCCATAAGCCGAGTGAATTGATTTCCCACTAGATTTCAGTCAAAGTTGATTTATTTATTTGTCTTGTTTTGTTTGCTTCAGCTGTGGAAGGTTGGATCCTGTTTGTGACGGGTGTCCATGAGGAGGCAACAGAAGAAGACATCCATGACAAGTTTTCAGAGTTTGGTGAAATCAAGAACCTGCATCTTAACCTTGATAGAAGAACAGGTTATCTGAAGGTAAGAGGGATAAACTGGGACTTTCTGTGTCTTTGGATCAAAACTTAAATGCTTAATCAAGTTAGGTAAACTTCATACTCAACTCCTATTTATAATAATACTCTTTATACTAGAATATTATACTTGATGCAATGCAATTGGATTTTTTATGTTGGAAAGAGCATGTAGTAAGGCAATCCATAGATCTGTACATGATGAGAAAACAAGGGAAAGGTAAATAGGAAGGTAGTTAAAATGAATGGGAAACATAACTATTAATGTTTAGATGGCTCAGTCAAAGGATGATCAAAAGAAATAGGTTTTTATTCTGGATTTAAAACCATTTAGAAATTTAAAATGCACAGATGTTTTGTAAGTTTATTTCCTCTTATTAGTGCAGCATGACTAAAATCTGCTTCTCCGTGTTTGGTTCTGGTTCTGCAGAGTAGATCTGATCTATAGACCTGAAAGGTCTGGCTGTCGATCCACTGCCAACCAATCTGTAACGTATTTCGGAGACATTCAGTGATTTCTAGACTAGCAGAAGGACTTTAAAGTCTATTCTCTGGGATCCAGGGAACCAGTGGAAGGACTTTAGAGCGGAGGTTCTCCACTTTCTTAGTTCTAGTGAGGACGCAGGCAGCAGTGTTCTGCATCAATCGGATCCCCTTATTAGGCATCTGTGGAGACGCCGCTGCAGGGATCAATTCTACTAAAGATGAACAAACAGGAAGTCGTTTTTCAACATCAGTCCTTTAATCCTGGAGATGTTCTTCAGGTGATTGAAGGTCCACTTTGTTGCTGTTTCAGAGCTTGGTTGCTTCTTTCTAGCTGGATTAGCTGAAGCCGGATGCCAACTTTGAATCACTCTTCTTTTGGTCTAACAGTTGTTACTCCAGTTGTGTTTTGATTCAGCTGATGAACCTTCTGTTCATCCATGCCTTGGTTTCTTCTGCATTTACTCCGAGCTGAATGGGTTCATCGTTACCTGCTGACATGTTGATGTTCAGCTGCGATTCTGCATCTTTATGCTGACGTACGCTGTTGTTTATTTAAATCTGAGTATTCAAGTGAATAAACAGCATTTTTAAAATTTATTTTGCCAAACGATTAATCAGACTATTTTAATACAAACAAAAATAAATAATTGGATTATAAAGGTTTCTCATTGGAGATTTTTCATCTTAAATGTAAACATTTTTCTTTTTCATATATATAGTTTGAGTTTAATTGCTTCTCTTAGTTGGTTAATCTTTCATCAAATGACATTTAGAGTCTGTATACTCCAGTTAGAATAATTAGATAACTTCAGTTATCCATTAATCGTGGTCAATCTGATTGTTTCAGCTCTAAAGGTCAATGACGGCTCCATTTATTCATGATTTCATCTTTCTTTAATATAATTCTTGTTTTTTCAATTAAATTTTATTCCCTTTGTGTTGCCTTTATGCCACTGTAATGTTTTCCTTTTTTCTTTTGTTTAGCACTTTATATTATCTTGCCACTGAAATGTGTTCTATGAATAAACTTGCCTTGCTCAATGGAAAAACTTGAATAGTTTCTCTGCTAATTAGACCTAAAATCTGGCTTTCTGATTCTATAGAACAACAGTTTAAGTCTGTTAACTTTGGCTCCATAAGTCTTCCTTTTTTAGGCTGATTTGAAAAAATTTTTTGATTAAAAGATGGTTTTACATACACACTAGGGTGACCAAACGTCCGTATTTCCC